GATAGATTTAAGATAGAGATATCTGAGTCAAGCGAACAGTAGGCACAGTAAGTAAAGTATGTGAATCACTGTGATTTATAGCGTTTGTTATAAAGGTTGTTAAGTTTAAAGTGAGTGTGGAAATTCTGTGTACTAAAAAGTTGTATCAAGAAAGAATAAACTAGTTTTAATTAAGAAAGGACTTGTATCCTTGAAGTTCCTCGGAGGGAATTTATAAAGGAAATTAACAAACGAGCAGATACGTAACAATACTAATTGTTACTGTGCGGAGGACGAATGTTGTGTAGAAATAACAGCAACGATTATCTTTAACCAAGCTATTATAATTTCAGGGCAAAACGGTCTCAGACGTTTTATATGTATAACCCTATCACAAAATAAAAACATAAGAAATGTGTGGTATAAGACAACTATTACCATTATTAGCAGCGGGATAACGGCTCATATAACAGCTCTGAGTTTTTCAGGTACAAACTTTTAGCTCATAGCTCCGTCATCTCTTGACCAATTTGAGATCTAATTACAGTTTTGGACTCAGGGGGTCATTCCCTTTCGAATTATCTATTTGACCATGCCCAAGGTCTAATAGATTAATTTATTCTAATCCTGCCTAAAAGAATTTCAATTTGATGGTAGGCTGGTAGAGAGTCTGATGAGTAATAAAATCGAATCGGTCATACGCGCGCTGCATGCTCAGTAAAAAACATTAACAGTTCTGACTCCTTTAAGAAGAACATCAAAGCGTGCTTTCTCTATCATGGTGACGAAACAAAAAACAGGCTGTTACAAATCTACAAATGTACCAGTCTAATCGCCAAACTCAGTCCTGATGATTTAATCTTAAAGTAACGTATCTTAGGCATGTCAAAACCTTGAATAATCTAACCTTTCTTAAATTCGACTAGGAACATTGGATTAGTCATTCACAGTTCTGATGACAGAAAAATACAATGTAACGCACTTTCCTATAGTTTTGTATTTCGTATGACGCAAAATATTTAAATTTTTCTAGAGTTTTAGGACGAGCTCATGTGATACTATTTGAGTGGTAGAGACATTATATCATTAATAGAAGCTGTGTCAGAAGTGGCAGGGTATGAGGTATTAACCTCAACCGAGTTGGCAGAGCAGAAATAGCCAACAGTGGCTCAGCACCAAATGTGTTAAATTCACATTAGGGAAGGCTAAGAAAAATAACCCTACCCCTTTTGCACTATACAGCAACCTCAATCAAACCAATATGTCAGAGCAGAGAAAGCGTACAGTAACTCCCTAGCACTAACTGTGTCAACTACACATTATGGAAAGCTATAAAGGATGACTTTACTACTTCCTACATTATACAATAACTTGGCTCAGTCTGAATAGTAGAGTGGTAGAAATATCTTGAACCTGCTGCTCTGTCTGTGCCTATGGTGCCAATGGAGAAACGTAATAATTCAGAGAAAGAGTTAGAAAGGAGAGATTCTTACTCTTACTAAAGACAATTTAATCATTCATAATATATGTGTTATTTCCTGTGTCTACACAGGAGCTTACATGTTCAACAAATAAACTAAATGGCATACAACAAGCTCATAGAAGGAAGGCATCATCCTTTGAGTATTGTCAGGTCAGATTTGTTAGTTTAAGCTAGTAAGCTCTATTCTGGACACTGATCTGGGCAAGTACAGTCATCTGTTTGACCCCTTCATAGTGGTTTCAAAGTTTATAGATCTCAACTTAGCTTGGTATTTGTCTGGGAAAGTTCACAATGCAAGATAGAGTTTTTGGTTAATACAGGAGTAACAGGGTAAGCCACTACTCCAGCCAGCAAATCCTGACTTTTCCTTCTCAGTGGGAGCAACGCATGACCTAGTGGTTAGCGACCAGACTATTGATCTGCAGGTCCATCATTCACGTTCATTTATTGCAAAACAAAAATATTACTCTGTACTTGGGGCTTTGGATGCAATATAGGTCGACGGTCAAATCCCACTATTTAGTCAGAAAATTGTAGAACAAGAGTTGGCAGTGACTGCTGTTGACTAGCTGCCTTTCCTCTATTTATCAACTCACATTAAGGATGGTTAGCACAGACAGCAATTGAGTCGTCTTGTATGAATATCTGAAAACAAACAAATCTTGCCAATGGTGATAGGATTGCAGTGACTGGAGAATATCGACTCAGCATCACACGTGGTTCTGTAACTAAATGTGTGTGTATTATTATCAAGGATTTTAAATCAGACACCAGCATCATAAGCTTAGAAGTTCTACTTACCTGCAAGTATAGACTACATACAAAGAGAGCTAAAACTTTGGGATGAAACCATAAGATGATGATCAAATATTAAGCACAGGAACATTACACTGCACAATGTGTATACAAGGCTATCTAATGCACAAGTACTGATTTCGTGAGAACAATCTCATATTGCATCACCAGTTAATGCTCTCGTGGAAGCAACGAAAGAGACACATTGTTTCATTTTGAATAAATAAATAAATTGCACTTACTCTGACGGTTTCTCTCCCACAAAAGATACGTTCTAATTGTGGTTTGTAATTATGATAATAAAATGATAAAGTCACTAGCTGGGATGACAATTACAGTTGTACATAAAGGACAACATCCTGGAACTAGTAGTGTAGCTATAGTTAGTTCAAGTTCACCATATTGACATTTAAATACATAGTTGCTAGTACATCTAAAATCATTGGTTGAAGATTGTACAGATAATATGAACTTAGACCAACAAAGAAATATTGGTTGAAGATGTACAGACAGTATGAATCCAGACCACCTGAGACATCCTAGAAGTTTAGTGACAAAATTCGCTAATATATTT